CCTGAAATAGGCTCAATAAGTTAACTAGCTTGTGCATGTCAATAAATGTTTGTGCTAAATGATTCTGTTTTCTAAGTTTTATTAAATAAGTCAAAGATATTAAGTTATGAAAATTATTAAGTTAATTTGAATATACTCCACGTCTTTGTCTTCCACCTTTTCTTCGAGTGTACGACAATTAAAAGTAAGCGCTTTTGACCAGTTAGGAACATGTATTTGACATTGCGGTGCATAAATTAGAGTTGAGGCATGGATGCTACAGTGGCTGCTGATTGTATGCGCATAATTGCATGTTGACAGTTTGCCTGCTGGCTAATGGACCCAACTCGCATTATTATTATTATTATTGTTGTGCTTGGCAACAGCCATGTGAGCCAACATCTGGCATTCGTTAAGCCCTTAACCCGAATAGTTGACAGCTTAGTTAAAGGCATTAAGCCTTAATTGGCCACAGAGGAAACTGCTGCTTCGTATAACATACGAAAATTAAGTGAAACAACAGCAAGATAAGCTTAAACGGGGCAACATAATATTGAAAGGGGAAAATAAATAAGTAACTAGTAGTGGATACCTTATTAATACGTTTTTACACTCAATATAAAAGTTAAGGTACCAAACACATCTCGTTGACAGCTGAAGATGAAATTCCTATACTAGGTCTGTTGTTATCGATAATTAAACACAGTGTTATCGATATTTAAAAACAATGCCATTAGGTGAAGAAGAAGAGTATTCATTTCAATTTAAAAAGTAAAGCGAAAAAGATGTCAGCATACTTGCCTAAATAATGAAAATAAAATTGAAATAAAGCCTTTCACACTTTATAAAAAGCCAAATCGTATATACCACATTTATCACTAAATAGATTTTCATCAACTTCAGGGAAACTTCTTGGTACGTATTAAGGGTTACGATCCAATATATTCTGAGATTGATGATTTTATGCATAGGAGAAAGGTGAAATTTAAACTCATTATATTTAAAATGATTCTAAGTGTATATACTTAATAAAGTTGATCACTCTTCCCTTCAGCCTGCTAGATGAATTTGCATAAGAACATAATCAGTTTTCATCCATTTTCTAAAGGTCACAAGGTATAAAAATAATAAATAAATAAATCACTCTTCTTTGTAGTGGGACTTCAAATCAAAATATTTTATAATTAGAAAAAGAAATCACAAAACAATCATCCATTCAATGACAAAATGGAATTCCGTTTGATCCATTGTGAACCGCAGAGCCTGCCCCAACAATGTGTGCATGAAATATAATAATCAAAACATAATTTAAGCAAACATAAATCGATTTATGTGTAGCGGTTTCAGCGCCTCACAATGCATTTGGGCCAATGCTATAATTGGCTTAAATGGGTTTGCATTTTTGGTCCGATTGCGGTGGCAATAAAATTTATAATGCGTATTTTACGGCATTATTATCATAGAATTTGAATAGCATTTAGTGTGTGAGTGGCATTCGCTGGGCTATCAAATAAATTCGATAACTGAAATTGTGTTGGCATTTGATTAATTTGGAAATAAACGCTGAATTCAAATGAAATTTATTTTCTATCGAGCCCAATACGTATCTTTAATAGAAAGCACACACTAAGCCAGCGTAATGCTGGGCAGAAAATCCCTATTAAAGCCCATGCCTGAATCCTCGGATCCTGTATGGATTCCCAGCCAGCCTCTTATCCATAAGGCTATCATTTAGTTCAAAGAGCTATCAGTGCCATATGAATCTGAATCTGAGCCTGCCTTCTGCTCGGCGCTGGCAATCGTCCGAAAGCAAAACTTAAAGCAATCAAAGCCAACTAAGAAAAACCCCAAAAGCCCCAAAGCTCAACAGAAATGAATGCGAGTTCACAAAGAGAAAGACCGAAAAAAAAACAAAGAAAAAAATCACATCGACGAATATGAAGGAAAGGGAGCAGGCAACGAAAAACACAATGCAAAACTAAAAATACAGCTCAAGCGAAATAGGTGCAAAAGTATCGGTCAAACTAATGGAGGGAGTTCGTTATAGCGAGGGGGATTACACGCGTGGCACGCTGCGCACAGCTTGTGCTGAGGCCACTTGGGCACGCAATGGCGGTCATTGCGGCAACAATGACCCCGCCCACCCAACATCTGCGTCTTTCTCATAGGCAGCTGACTAGACTTCTATTGGCAATATCCTATATCCTAATATGAAGCCTAGGTTTTCAGGTAAGTGAGGCATTGGAGTAAACAGCTGCAGCATTTAGTTATTATTGATTATTGCCTGATTAGTATACGGGCTTAGTCTTAATAATAGTCTAGAAAAAATCTCTTATTTCTTATATCACATGATATGTGCTACAAAAAAAAAAAAAAGAAAAGGCAAAAAATAAAAATAATGAAATCAAAAAAAAAAAATCAGTTGAAAAAAAACAGCAAATAATTAAGATCTTAATCTTAGATACTTCAAAAAAAAGACTAAAAATAAACTTTAGACATATATGTCTAACTATATTATATTTAAGGAAAGGAAAGTCACATCATTTGAACAGCATGCAACAATTCGACAAAGGATTTCCAAATAATTTTGATAAAATCGTGTTTTAATTTTAGTCCCCAAGGAGTTTCCAAACTTCTTCCTGAAAGTAAATAGTAGGTGGTAAAAAAAAAAAAAAAAAGTTAAATAAATAAATGAATAACTAAAAAAAAAAAATAAACG